TCTATATCTCTATCGTCTCAGGCTCGTAGCAGCTTCTAACTGTCCATCGATCAGACACAGTGCAGAAGTAGAACACAGTGATCATTTCCACATCAGTCTTCATCACTCTACCATCACGTACAGGAGACACGTATGTAACATGATGAGAATGTGGCCTCTAACATGACCGGTATACAAAGCCTCCTTCTACCTGGTTAGCTCTGACCACAACTCATCAATAGCAAATTAACTCATGTACTGGTTCAACGTGGTGTTTTTGAGGCAGACACTTCGTTTAAAGGGTTTGATTCCTAAAATGTACACAGGAACTTTAACTTTGTACGACTCTAATGCGTTTACATAAACATTACTGATGACATTAGTTGTGAGATGCTCATGTGTTCATAGCTGTAACAGTGACGTTCATTAGCTGAGGACGAATCATTCGTTTGTACTTAAACGAAAGTTTCTTTGGCAACTTAAACAAATCTGAAACACAAGATTAATGTAAAACTGAAAAGTAACTGGAGACTAAAGCTATAATATTTTGCACAAGATATTATTTTACCTTAAAACTGTACCACTAGTACTTACAGTTCACCTGTGCGCTTTATTATTCCCTCGGGTCTGATCAAAACTAGTATTTTTCTATTTACAGACTTGAGGCCTGTGGGAAGTCAAGATAAATCTGACCTGGACCTCAACCACTCTGGACCCAGATCAGGTCTGGTCTTCAAGTTTACTGGAAACTAGGGAGAAAATAAAGACAAGACGCCGTTTCACATGATCAAGACTTTACTTCATAGTTCAGTGCCCATCGACCCCTTTACAAACACAACATGGGCTCCAACAATCAGCCGACCTTTGCACTGCAGAATCCAAGCAGGTATAACATCGTCCTCTCATGGTTAACCCTGTTTTTGTCATGCGATAAACAACAGGCATAGTGCCAACACATTGGTACAGAAGGTCCAAATTTACACTTTGCTTGGCAAGATAAAAAATAAAGATGTCTTTATGGGAAATGATTCTAATATATACTGTACAATTCAAAGCATAAACAAAATAAAAACACCCAGAAAATAGATCGATTAAAGCATGCCCATTGTCACACCATGAGGAGGAGGCTAGCAGCCGAGCAAATTATTTTGTGTTCACATCCAACTCTTCTCTTTATCCAAGACTATAATGGACACAGGATATATTTAGAAATCGCTTACGATATTATCATAGTTTGGGCATTCATTCAATCTAATTTGATCTTTTTGGCCAATAGGAAGGGGAGAACTTTATCAAATAATTTAAAGGTACAGATTTTCGTTTTCCTTCTATAGAGTCAATGTATGTGTGATATACTTCACCATGCAATGTGAACCAAGCAGGGTATTGTCAGTAGAAGAGTAGTATAGCTGTGGACAAGCTGGGAGTACAGTGTAAGATGAGAGTCTCTGAAACTGGACTTGTTGGAGGCCATGATTCTCACCTCCTGGAACCAGTTAGATCAGGGATTGGCCAGGGACATATCCATAGCACCATGGCAGCAATGCTCCTGTATGACAGTCAGTGAAAATTACTGGAAGCCCATGAAGATAGTTCGGTAAGCTGTCCGTGGAAAAAATAAGAGGTCCATACATATTAAATGAGTTGAAGGAGGTCATTGTAACAGCACAGTCTAATATGGAATCAAGTGAGAACCTTTGAGGCGTTGCTTGTCCGAAGACTGATTAAACATAAATGTGTCTCAGTGATGAGTCTCTTTGTATTATCTAGCGGGCACCACCTTCTCCCTGGCAACCGGTTTCCCCTTTCCAGCCGTCGTACCAGCTGGTTTTGGCCTGGTCCTGGTGGACATGATGCCAGAGGAGGACTGGACAGTGGCTTCCTGTGAGGCGCTGCGCCGCATGGTTGTTGTAGTCCTGGGTGGTAGCATGGGGACAGTTGGGGCTCGAACTGAGAGTGGCTGCCTGGACGGACATACTCTCTGAGGAGAGGGGCTGTCAGTCCTGCTGTGAGTAGAGCTAAGGCTGCGTCTGGTTCCAAACAGGACTCGCAGGGGCATTCGAGGGCTGCCAGACAGGGCAGGGGCAGCAGAGGAGCGGGGACATGAGGAGGAGGACCTGGGTGCGACAGGTTTGGATTTCCGTTGGGTGCTAAGGGTGCTAAGCCCAATTTTCCGATTCCTGTGGACAAAAGAGTAAATTGGGGGTGTTATATTGCAAAATTCAAAATGAAAATTTTTAGTACACAAAAAGGGAGGAAGAGAATTATACCCATTAGCCAAGGATGGAGCTCCTTTAGTGCTGGAGTCTGGCAAGGAAAGAGGGGAAGGAGAAGTAGCAGCAAGCCCCCCCGGAGGCCTCTTTATGGGTGTGACGGGCCTGGGGATCCTGCTCGGAGTCTCCTTGGAACCTTTCTCGTCAGTCGGTTTGAGGCGCAAGCTCCTCCTGGATTCGTCCGAGGTATGCGTGTCCTCTTCTGAGCCTGTGGTGGACAGAGTTTCAGAGGCCCTCCGACGCTCATCGTCCCCAGAGGACAGCGATGATGATGTCCCAGACAGCATCCTCCCCCTTATCCAGCGACCCTGTTGTTTCTGGACCAGCAGACGGGCTAAGTCTAGCTGCCTGGCCCGCTGCTTAAGCCGAGCCCGAGCCGAGAGGGAGGAGGACTTCTCTGAGCCGGAGTCCTCTTCAGTAATCAGTACTGGGATTAGGCTGCGGATTCTGGGCTTAATGGCAGCCGTTAGTTCTGATACTGTTGTCTGAAGCTTGGCAGCTTCTTCACTGGGTGCTTGCTGTTTCTTAGGTTCCTGTGACAGATCTTTATATTCATGAGCTGGTGACATTGCTTCTGGGACAGGTTCCAAAGACTGGGCCAGGACAGGTGACATACCACTCTCAGTTTTGGAGTGTTTGTCAACTGGTGGAGTTTGGTCTGGCACCTCTGGAGAATCTTCTATCACTGATGGTCCTCCCTGCTCACGAGAGTAATCCTCTACAGTGGAGTCCTTCATGATGGCTAAGACTTCCCGGTCACTCTCCTTGGCTGAGTGACCGTTGGAAGACATGACGTTGAGGTGGGACGTCTCTGCAATATGGATAAAAGTTCGCTCTACTTTGGTGAAGGGCGGTGATGCAGGAGCGATGGGAGTGGAAGGCCTCAAGTCTGACCTGAGAGCTGGGGACAAACGTCCAGTTTCCGAAGGTTCAGGCTGAATTGCCTCCCCAACCAGGAGGCGGTCATTACGGGAATTGAGGGTACATGGTGTGGCCAACTCGCCTTCTAGCAAATGATCACCACCAGAAGGAGACTTGCGAGTGTCTCCAGGAGAGAAGAGGACAAGAGTTTTGGACGCGTCCTCCAAGTCCGGGTCTGCATCAGCAGCTGAGGCATGCTCTCGTTGGGCCCTCTGGTCCTCGGCCATGAGTGTGGAGGGCGCAGCTTCCTGGCTGCGTTCAGTGCTTTTCTGACTGGCCTCGCTGTTGGACTCACTCTTTGTGACATCGTCATCCTTTGGCCCTGGAGGTTCTGGGACTTCTTCTTCATCTGGTGTAACAAAGCTCCTGCGCTGAGGCAAAGTACCAGTGAGCACTACCATGAGGAAGTCCGCCCTCTTGGCCTGGAGCTGAGGAAGGATGTGGAAATGCTCCTTCTCGTCGCTCTGGCCCTTTGTCCTGTAGTCTGGGGAGGGCGGCAACGGGATGCTCTGCTCCATGGGTGATAACACCTGAAAACAAAAGTGAACAATAAGTGAGTCAACAACACAACATTGAACAGACTGAACAGAAACATGATGTAAGGAGTTTACTGATATCACAGTGCATGAACTCTCGTACTTAATAGCAGCTTGTACATGTTCAACGTGGACGACCAATCAAACCATATGAGGGGTGTTTCCGAATCTCATCACCTCAGTCCTACTGATGCTACATCAACATTATAAAAAAATCGAGGAACAAGTCTTTGTGCAATAAAAACAATTTTTTGGCTGATTTGATTGGTATCACTTTCCGACTTCTACCAGCAACATATTTTTTTAAAGCTGCTGTTATGATTACTAAAGAAAAGTGCTTCAGAAGAAGGTCACGTGTGCATCACTCCTCAGTGTGGTCTCTCTAAGAAAGACCACAGGAACTGATGTATTTGCCCCCAAAACCATTTTAATGTCATTTTGGTTGTACACAAGCTTTTCAAGATTGTCTAGATTACATACATTGATATAAAAGGCACAAAAAAAATGCTTTGCAGAGTTTATCCTTAGACAGCACGCAGTCTGATATCAGGTGAATTTCAAGTGTTTCCTTTCATAAAGATTTAACATAGAGCCTGTACAGACTAAACCCCGCTAATGATCATGCTATTAGAGATTAACTGCAAACCTATTGACTTTCTACATTTCTGTATATTTACAGTTATCAGTTGGATTTACAAAAAGTTTAAAATACATGCTTTAAATTATACAAGCAGAACTGTACAATCATAATGTGATAGAAAAGAAACGCTAACATGTATAGTACACGTGAAAGACACTCACGGATCATCACACTGAACTAACACTGTTCGATCTTTGCCTCAACGACAGACACCCTGCTTTTATTGCAAAAACTTTGAAGGAACATTCAGACATTTTATGAAATTCTTGTTTTTGTGGTCGGATGAGAAAGTTTTAACTAGTACAGCCGTAGGTCCAAGATGTGTTTAGCCTAGCTTAGCACAAATTTAGACTGGAAGCAGGGGGAAACGCAGCTGTTAAAAGAGAAAACAAATTCACTTTTGACCAAATTGTACATTATATAGTTTAGAATAGATGTAGAAATAGAAAACATATTATACCTTCTCCTCTGTGCCTACCTTGTCAGACAGTAGCCTAGCTAAATTTAAGCTAATCAACTAGACCAGTTGTTTTAATTATAATCAGAATTATGTAAAAGTAAAAGATGAGCTACAAATTTCCCGCTGCTTCAGTCTTTGTGCTTCACGAAGCCAAACTTTCCCGTTGCGTGACACAGACATGAAACTGATCTTCGTCTTCTCCACGTCTGAATGTTCCTCTGAGACACAAGTGATTTCATGTGATAGTTTAAATGGATTAATAAAGTAGTGAATGTGGCATACAGTCCAAACATAGCTAACATGGACACGAGTGTTCATCTCTAAAGACACAATGTCTGTACCTTATCTGTACAATATCACCCTGTTATTCATAGAATTCAGCACTAACATATCAAATATGAAATTAAATATGTCGGGGAAGGGGCATAGTTTTTTAACATTAATATAATTCTACTGCGTGATTCATGAGGTATAAATGTTTTGTGTTAAAACATTTTTAACAGTTTCTGGTAAATCCACACTCACTGACCGAAGGGCAAAGAAAACTGTAAAGACAGGAAAGCTTCAAATTCACAGTATTGATGAAATTGAAACCGAAGTTTTGTTTTTAATAAAAATAAACGATTTTTCAGGGGCTAAGAAAAAATGTGTCTAATTTCTGGTTTGACCACAGCAGTAAATTTAAATATCACATTTCTTCATATCAGGAACTTCTGATCAACAACTCAGTTACATTTCCAGGTTTTCTTTAAATCACTTTACAAGTTTCTAATGAATCCAATTGAAATCAGACGAACATGTACAGTATATTTTGGGTTGAATAACATGATTCGCAGCTTAGACTCACACGACGCTCCAAACTAATTTAAATTGAATGTTTTCTTTCTGTTCACAAGCGCAGTGCTTCCGTCAATATGCTAATTTGGGAAATTTCATTAAGTGAATCCTAGAGTCACTATACAAACATGATCACAGCACCAGAAGCAATTACAGGCCTTTGACAGCACATTTCGTTTGTTAAGTGCTGTCGGCCTTGAAAGAATTCCGTGTCTTGCACTTCACATGTAAAGGTCTGAATTCCGACAAACCATGGGAAGTGAATGAAGTTGAAGTTGATCTGTGAACCTGCTTAAATCCAGCATGGATTTGCTGAATATTCACAGTGATTTTTCACTAATATTCACATCAGTTTCATTGGTGTCTTTGCAGTGAAGCTGTAATTTTTAACATGGTAGATGGGAATTATGTGAAAAACAGCAAAAATGAGACTTGTTTTAAAAATAAATATTGCTTAGAAAATGTTTTAACAGCATCATGATGCTGAAACAAAACTTTAAAATGTCACATCAGCAGAATAAAAGACGATGTGATGAATTATGGATTCTGTGATCAGGGTTAAAAACGACTCCTGCTGCTGCTTGTTGAGATTTTAAAGTCAGCGACGGACTCGACAGCTCTGATCCGTGAGTATCCCCTCTCGTAATGGTGTGAATTATTTACAGAGAAACATCACAGACGTTTTTCAGTCGGAGGTGTATATTCACTGTTTTTGTTGTAATTACAGTACAGTGGTGTTTTTAGTCATATTACAGTCAGAGGTGTGTCGTACTAACAGTAGATCTCATGCAAAGAGTGGCGACAGTCGGTAAACAGTCTTTAGGTACGACACGCTGTCATTAATGCTGCAGATGTTTGTTTTTTCCTCAGCTCGATAAGCACAGAGAATTCCATGGCCTGTTTTTAACTGAAGGTGGCGCTGCGTTCATGGCGGAACAGGACAAAACACGTATCAGTGACAATCTTGTACGGTAGGTGAATCATTTTGCAGGCGTGCAAAACAAAGTTCAGAGTTAGCAGCTAGCAGACGTCATACATTCTCTAAGTAGTTGTACTCTAACGCTATGATACATATAAAAACAGGCAGGACGTCCTGAAGTTAGCATAAAGCAGCATGAAATCAAACTGGAGCTGTAATGAGCCTCAGCGCTGACACACACGTCCTGCTCAGGCTAAGCTAATGCTAACGCCTAAGGTAGAAGCTTAATGAAACAGCAGGTGGTGCATATTTAGTTAATGTAGCCCTTTTACACTTTTAGGAAGCAAGAGATTTGCTTCCATTGCACAAAATGGCCGTCCTAGCGAGTCTCATGTGGCGAGATTTAGGAAAAACGTTGTGAATGTGGAGGAGACACAGCTTGGACTTTGAATAGAAGGTCGTCTGAATGACATTTAAAGCAACAAACCCAAAAAAACAGCCGCTTTGGTTTGTCGCTCAGCAGCAGCGTTCAAATATAAAACTACTCAACACTCATCCATCGCAACGGTGTTGTCGTAACATAGTGAAGAACCAACCATAGACATGTATTTAATGAAAACCTCCATCTGTCGGAACGCGTCCTGATTTTTATCTTGTTGCTGATTCGTAGGGTTTTAGTCCTGTAGTGTCAAAATGAAAACGGATAATGTGTGAAGATCTTTTCGCTGATGTCACGTGACAAATCTCAAACTTCTTGATTCAATTTTGATTAAAATCACTTGCTGCTGTTTGTTTTGATGACTGTTATTTTCTTTTCATTTTGTCGTTGAAAAGTTGCATAGAAACTACACTGACATTTACAATAGCCACAGAGACGGACCTTCAAAATCCAGAGGCTTTGAAGAGCTAAAGATCTTGGAAGTTCTTTTTCTAGTATAAGTATTTGTGGAGGTATTTTTTAAACAGGGAACTGAAAGACCAATTGAGCTAATAATTCTCACACTTCAGGCTCAATAAAGGAATATTTTCACAAAAATTAGGACGTCCTTCAAAAGCCTATGACAACAAAAATCTTTCTTTCCCCATTTCACACCCTCCGTCTCTGAATCTTCACCCATAACTGCCGATTTTCACAGTTTGGTCATTGGATGTGGGATGTTCGCAGGTTTCTTTATTTTTACTATCGGGAAACTTCGTGGCCATGGTAACACACTTTTACTCAGACCAACAAACTACACAGAAATCATCACAGCAATGAAACAGACCCTGGCTACATTTACTATGCATGCCCTTTGCAATATAACAGGTAGTGGCTATAAAGTGATTCCGTCTCATTGCATGTGAAGTGGAGAAAGTGACGAGTGGCTCTGTAGAATCCCTCACTCTGCTCTTCTGGAGCCACTGTGGGATTTTTATTCATTATCCCATCAATCACTTTTCTTTCCTGCTCCTTATTTTTGTTAAATTTTCCATTAGATTGATTTTCTTTCTGTCAGGCAGTCATTGGTTCCACTTCGGTCAGGGATGATTGTTTGGTCGTCATCGCTCAAGTCTCAGCGCACAATGAGCCGTCATAACAAATGCATCGATACAAAAAACAGTGAGTGTGTAAATGTGCAGGCTCTAAGTTTAGAAATCTATGTGCATGGTTCATAAGGCAGAATTAACACTGCACGTTTTTTCTGCCTGATTTTCCACTCGCTGAAATTCACAGACAAAAGCCCCGGATCGGAACCAAATCAGCTTTTGATCATCAGGCGCCAATCGCTATCGCTCGCTGTCAAGTTACCACCTTAGACTAGATTTCTAGCAGCTAGATATGTTGACCAATTCGTGACTACTGCAGCCAATTAGAGCAGAGCAGACATATTAAGCCTGGTTCACACTACATGTTTTTTGCCGGTCGCTTACTGTGTCTCTAGTGTTTCCTACTGGTTTTAAAAGTCGCAGACAGAAGCCCCCGATTGGCAAACGTTAACGTTAATCTTTAAAGAAGAGCATCCCAGACTCTGATCAGATTTCCATCCTGTTGGACATCAGCTGCGAGTACTGCAGCCATCTCCAGCCAATCAGAGCAGAGGATGAGGCGAAGGTACACGTAAGGGATTCTACTGGTGAAAGACCCCGTCGCCACTCTG